GGCTCAGGTGGAAGATGGTGGCCCAGCGGCTGGAAAGGCATCGGGTGCAGATGAGCGCGACACACGCAGAAGGGCCGGGCCCGCCTGGATGGTGCGTCGCTCCGAGGGCCACGAGCAGACGCCCTTGCCCACAGCCCAGGCCCAGGCCACGGAGGGTGGCAAGGGGCGTGCGGCGGCAGACGCCCTCAACCGGCAGATACGCGAGGAGGTGACGAGTGCGGTGAGCAGCTCCTACAGGTGAGACACGGGCAGCAGGACTGTCCAGGGCTCATTCTCCCCTTCGCTTGCCTCACATCTAACCTCCTCTCTCCACCGCAGCCTCCCAGGGCCCCTCCAGTCACAGACTTAACTTCCTTCCTGTCCTAGGTAGAAGCCTTAGAATGATGCATTCAAGCGTTCCCAGCTTTTTCTCTTCACTACTTTAGCCATCTTTGCCCCACCCTCTCCTGCCCGAGGTTTCTTGCCCAACAAAGAAATGTCCACTTCTTCACAGCTGGCCAGTGATTTCCCCTGCACCACCTAGTTCACCTGCTGCATTGGGCTGGATTCTGTCCCTAGCTGGCTCAGCTGTCCCTCACCCACCTAGCCGCATTCCCACAGGATTCTCATCATTCTAAAATTCTTTCCAAGTGACCTCTCCCCCTAACTCCCTTCACAGGCCCTAGCTCACTTCATAGGACCCTGAATTCTTTTTCCCTGCCTCAGTCCCTGGGCCACACCCTTTTCTAGACTCCCCATAGGCCCTTACAGGTTGCCCTCTTCTATCATTTCTACTTTGAAGTCATCTTCCTCCTGCTTCTTACTAGCTCTGACACATTAGGCAAGTTTCTTTTCTTTCTGGGCCTCACGTTATCTGTGAGATGTGATAACAGATGCCTGAAGATTGTTCATTCATTTCTCAATTTAAAATTAACTAGTCAATATAGTTTTGAATACCTTTTCTATGGCAGGTAGACACTGTGAGGATTAAGGGAAATTATTCGGGAGGATTTTCCATGCCTGGCACAGTGGTAATTTGTTTTGTTTCCATCCTGACCTTCTACATAATGCTTCATAGCTCATATGTCCGCTTCCTAAATGCCTCCAGCCCTTTCTCCCATTGAGTCATCTCCTCGCTCCTCTGTGCCCTTAACGTTCTCCAGATGTGTTTTTCACTCTCTCACCATCAAGAACTCCATCGTTAGCACCTTCACACACCTTGTAAATGAATGCCTTTAACCATGGAACCCCCCCTACACACTCGCGTGCGCACACACACACACACACACACACACACACCTTCTAGAATTATCTCCCTGCTACAGCCTCACTCCCTCCAGTATGCTTTCTCACCCTTCATCCATCCAGTACATATCTGAGTGTTTAGCTTTCAGTCCTGCCTTTATGGTCCAGCCAGCATCATTTAGCTAACAGGTCACAGTTGGCTCTGAATGCACACTGGGCTTGGGGTCTCTGAGGAAACAGATGTGCGTGATGAGTAATTGAGGTGTTCAAAATGTGCCTTATGGGGTCTGTCAGCAATGCCACAGCCAGTTATTTGCCTATTTCCTGCAAAAGGGTGTGGTGGAGAAGACTGCAGTTAGTGTATTCTGCCAAGATCCTACGTGTAACCTCATGTCCCTCGTGTTAAACTGATGTCCTCCAAGAACATGAGAAACACTCCTTCATATGTTGAGAAGACTGCATAATGCA